ACATTGCATTTACTGATAGTAACAAAATACATTAGCTACTTGGTATTGAAATAAGCTGAGATAGACTACAACGAATGATTAGCTTACAGCAAAAGCATTATATTGAAAGTATAATCAAGCGTTACTACTTTGAAAGCAAAAAGGCACTATGAACACCTATTACTCCTAGAATAGATCTATCTAACAATACAAACAATACATACAATACAAACAAAAGTAATAATGAAACAATACTATACATGAATATGGTAGGATTGTTAAGATATGTTGCAGACTGCACACGGCCAGACATATCTTATATTACTGGGCAATTAGTATGCTACTTACAAAAGCCCCAAACACATCACTACAAAGTAGTGAAACATTGCTTTGCATATTTAAAATATACAACAAATTGTTAGCTTCAACTTGGAAGCACAAACGCCTTAAAACTATGAGGCTATTGTGATGCAGACAGACGAATGATGGAAGGACATAAAGCAATAAACAGTTACATCTTTCAATTAGCTAAATCAACCATATCTTGGTCAAGCAAACAGTAAAACCTGGTACTACTATCTGTTTACAAAGCAGAGTTGCAAGCACTAGTGTATACTACTCAAGAAGCCATTTGGCTCAAACGATTCACTGAAGAAGTACTGCAGACTGAATCAGCACCCATTACAATTTATTGTGATAATCAAGGTGTAATAAAGACTGTAAAGTCTGACAAAATAACATACAATGCTCACACTAAACATCTTGATTTACAAAAAGACTTTGTACAATGTTACATTCAAAACGAATACATTAATGTATGCTATGTTCAATCACAGAACCAATTAGCAGACATCCTTACAAAGGCTCTCCACGTCCTGCAGATCAAGCATCTAAACAAACTATTAGGCATACAGTCTTAGTTCTTAATTAATGCTTGAAGGGGAGTATTAGATTGTGCTCTGGATTAGGAAATCCCTAATTGCCTTTATGTAGAATTACTGCTCTTGGAATGTCTCAGATTATCAGACTTCACTATATAGTATATAAGGTAGATACTTGCTTGATGTCTCAATAAGAGAGAGTACTTGGGGCACTCCTGCTACACTTGTTAAAAATGAGGGATAACAAGACATTCTCCTAGAAAAAGAAGACCATTTTCTAATTTGATGCCTAGCAATTCCTGAGGCTGAGACAAAAGTTTAGCACAAAAGGTATTATCCTTGTAGCCAGAGCAGATCTTATTAAGAATAGCAGTGTTGGAAGTGATGGCAAGACAGGAGGCTACTAGAGAGGAAGATTGTGCTTCAATACTTTGAGGCATTTAAGACAGAGTATCAGCTACAGTATTAGCTTTGCTAGGAATGTATTAAACATTAAAGATATATTGTAATAAGAATTCTTGCCATTATGCTTGTCTGTAAGAAAGGTCTTTTTGAGACAGAAATGATGTGAGGGTCTTGTGGTCTGTAAATACAGTGAATGTAGTTCCTAAAAGGTCTGTACAGAATTTCTTAAGTGTCTAAACAATTGTGAGGAGTTCTTTCTTGTGTACTAGGTAATTGAGTTTGACAGCTTTGAAAGGTGTAATGTCATACACTACTGGGCAGGCTGTCTCTAGGGTTTTTCCAAAGGACAAGACTGTACCCAAGCACAAATCTGAGGTGTTAGTGTATAGGAAAATCTTGTTATTACTCAGATTTTGGTGATTAATGACTGTAAGGCAATCTACAGACAGGACAAGATCTTTGATGGCCTTGAATACATGCTAGTGTTAGGAATTCCATTACAGAAATTCCTTTTCTGCATCCTTAGTCATCAGAGCATTCAACACTGCTGAGTGATCTGTAAGGTTAGGTAAGAAACAAGTAAGATAGTGTACAAGTCTAAGAAAACCATGCATTTTGGTTACAGAAGTTGGTTGAGGCTATTGAGCAATATGCTCAGTCTTTGTAGGATTAGCACAAATACCAGATTGGTCAGTAGAGAGAGTATGAAGAACTTCTGTGACATTTTGATAATGCTCTTCAAGACTTGCAGACCAGATAACAATGTCATCCAGGTAAACATAGTATACTTTTCTAATCAAATAACATAATACTACTGTAACTCAGTGCTAGTGAGTAGTTAGAGTATTGTAACAACCTATAAGTATAACAGTCCACTTGTATAGACTAAGAGGAGTATTTATAGCTATTAAGTGGATGTTGTTTGGATACACCCTTGTCTGAAAAAATGCATTAGTCATGTCAATCTTGCCCTAGTAAGATCCTTTGGCACAGTCAGCCAAGATATCATCAATTCTTAGTAAGGGGAAATTATTGGGCACTGTATTGTTGTTAAGCTTACAAAAGTCACACACTATGTGAGGAAGTACTGTAGGGGTCAGATTTTGCAATAAGGAATGCAGGGCTAGAAACAGGACTAGATGACAGGCACAATCTTCCAGATTCAAGATGCCCCTTTAAGAGGATTTCCCAGGCTTCACAATACTTCCTAGGGCAAGAGTATTACTGTGTTTTAATAGTATGATTAGGGTTGAGCAACTTAAAACAGTGAAATACATTATTAGGAAGATTATTAATGTGTGGAAGTTCCTTAGGAAAAAGATCTGTATGATTATTACATACAGTTGTATAATGTCAATCCAGAAGATCTTACTCAGCAAGGGTTTCAATGTACTGTTGGATCATAGTAACAATATCTGGAGATTCAATCTCAGGAATGTTTCCCTTTTACAGGAATGTCTTAGTTACAGGGACTAATTGATAAGACAGAGAAGTACACAAGATGCTATTTTCAGAGTAGGAAATAGAGATATTGTTTACTTAGAGGAAAGGTAGTCCTAAAATAAGGGGTGCACAAGCAGAAGGGGAAATAATGGTAGGAATGATGTGGGAGGACTATGAGGAATCTAAGAAAGTAGGAGAAATCTTTACATAGTGACATAGGACCTGTAGGGACTGTTTCAGCAACTCTAGAATAGCTAGTGTGACATGTATAGAGTTAGGGAGGCAAAAGCACTAGAGACTGAGCTGTTGAGCTAAGGCTTGATCAATAATTACTAAGAATGATCTGTTGTCAATAAGTGTCTTAACATGGGTAGTAATGTGTGGGCCAGAAAGTGAACAGTCCTAATGGATTTGTAGAATATTAAATTTCATATACTCATCAGAATCATTAACATAGACCAAAGAGAGCATTTCCACCCTAAGAGTAGCTGTAACAATGTCCATGTCATCTTAAGATGTGTCTGTATCAATGTTCTCCTTTTCCTCCAGGTTATCTAGCTGGAGGACCATACATGTATAGTCAGGGATCTGAGAAGTCTAGGGTTCCAAACCTATGGCTGACACAGGAGCCTTGACACAGCCAAGCAGAACTAGGGCAGGAAGAGTCTTAGGGTGAAGGTGTATCCCTTCCTCTTCTGTTAGAGCCCTACAGTTTTGTCTTTCTAGAGGTATCATACAGTCTTTTGCCTAGTGATTTGTGTAGAGGTACCTACATTTGAAACAGCTGTTGTGTCTGTCTAGTATGAATTTCTCTACAGCTGTGAGTCTCTCAAGTTTTGTGAGGGTTTGTAGACTCTGGCTAACCTGGATATTAGTGTTAGGGGCTCTAGCAACTCTAAGAGCCAGAGGTGCTAACTGATGTGTACAGTTGTTGTAGTAGTTGTGTAGAGTATTAGAGACAAGCTCTCTCTGATTCTGAACACATACATCTGCTTTACATACTGCTTAAAGCTATAAGGAGAAATCCACAATATTCTGGATAGACACTTTGTTGATTAAGAGCTTAAGATCCAGTTTGAAGTGTGCATTCATTAAGAAACAAACTTCTTGGTTGGACAGAGTAAAGGGGGTACCAGACAGGAGATTGTTCTTGCCAGAAATCTTGAAGTAGAATGTATTAGTATTGTCAGTACCTTGACACATGTTCTTAATTTTATTATGTATCTTCATCTCCCAGTTGTGCTCAAGGACAATGTTGTGTAAGTTAGTAATGAACTCTTCAAAGGTTATAGCTTCAATCCAATCAGGCTGAGTAGTGTACCATGTGTGTACTTTAATAGACTCAAGGCTGTGGATTATGAGCCTGACTTGATTATCTTCTACTATGTTTGCATAGGTAAAGAATGCACAACAATGACAGGTGTATTCAGAGAGTAGCTTTGCTAACATCTGGCCATCCAAAACCATAGGAGCTGTGTTTGGCTTGAAGCTGCAGAAGGTTGCTAGAGTTCAAGGCATGGTTGGCAGGACACAACAGGACACAACAGGACTAGACTGGACTAGACAGGACACAACTAGACAGGAAGGTTTGGAGAGAGTACTAGGACACAAGACAGATGTATGAGATCTTGAGTGGCAGGAGAACTAGTTGGCTGACTGTAGTAGCACTGAGTGTGTGCTGAGTGACACCAGTCTGATGTGGTCCCTTTATACAATTGTAGGACCAGTAGGTTGAGACATTCAAAAAAAAGTGAAGCCAATGTTACACTGAGACACAGAACAGTCAACAGAATAGAATTGATAAGACAAGACAAGGAGTATGCAAGACATTAAATAGGAGAGTATTATGTAATCAAGTGGCTGGTGAAACTGTAAGGTTACATAATACAGGAAAGGAGAAGAATACACTATAAGATACTCTCTCCAAACCTTCAGTACTTGTAGCTAGCATTTCCAGCACTCTAGAGTTGTTAGAGGAGGTCATAGTAGTGTAGTACAGTTGAAACACATGTAAGACATGCTAGGATTGTATTATTTTGTTTGTTTTAGCCACCATACACTTGTATACAGTCTAAAGAATGTTTATTTTTGTTTTAGAAAGGTATGATCTGCAATCATTATTCTATCACATTACATTATCAGCTATCATTACATCACTCAGGGCCATCCCTATTTGGGTTGTGGGACTCAGGGTCCGGGTGTGGAAAGTCAAAGGTCGTAAAGTCAAAGGTCTTATCAGACCCGTACCTTAGTATGCTTAATACTATCGATTCAGTAGAACTGCTACATTTTATTTCGACATTGAGGTTAATACACTACTCTCCATCCAGCGAAATCTTCCCAACACAAACATATTCACCTTCAGGTCCCCAACTGCCCATCCGACAAATTTGGATCTCAGACACTGTATGCGTACCAAAATCCACTGGTACAGCATAGCTTCCCGTGTTCTGTCCAGCAACCTTTTCCATGGCAGTGACAGGGGTTGTTGTTGCCCTCTCTCCTCGTAGATCCGACTCGGCCGTTCTAGTCTGTTGAGTAAGAGCGATTGTTTCTCCCGCCCCAGCAGAACTCGAAGAAGTCGATTCAGGTTCAGCTATTCTCAGACGACTCACTGCATCTGAGTTGCAAACCTGTGAAAACGAAAACGGTACTCGCCGCGCGTATCCGCCTTGTGGCCGTGGCTTACGATGAGAGGTATTGATTAACGTGCAGTGGAGCTAAAGTGATGTTACTCGATAGGAGTTCCTGGACAGAAATAATATTTACCTTCAAAGGACGCTTATCATCTACAGCAAACCCCGCTTTTATAAATTCTGAATTAATGAGCTCTGTAAAAACAAAAGACAACCAAAATCTCGTCAACAGCTTAGGGTAAGTCATGTTCGTACATACCGCAAACATACTTCAGTCGCTGCCCATCAACCGAACGCAAGTCACTCGCAGATGGACCAGCAAACATTATATGTGCACGCGAGGCATCATTTCTCTCCGGCTTCATAATATCAATTGCAGTAAGCGGTACTCGCAGTGCATGGCCATTCAGAGCATTATTAATACTTGGACGTATCTTCTTTAGATACTCGGATGCTGCGGAAACTGTTTTTTTGACTTGCGCAGCTCCACCTGCAGTCGATAAAGCAGCTGAATCATCTTCCAGACTCATAACACCTAGTGTAAGATGGAGACGCCGTGGTGTGACAATAATCGAGTGATCAAGTCCGTCGATTGGTGGCTGTGCAGCAAGTAGTTGCGAGCTAAATGAGTTCATAGCTGATTGTACAGCTGGTAGATGTCCCTTTAATCTGATGAGCCGTTAAAAATGCAACGTTATGAGTCAGGCCTACAAGCGGTACAGAAAGGACTGTGGAACATGAAGATGTATCAAGGTGAGGCAAACCAGAAAATGTGCCGTGAAAAGCTGGCTCACAATGCGTCAATGGCGGTTTCGAGAAGTTCTGTCTGGATTCATTTCTAGCAGGAGCAGGACCATCTCTTCCGCGCTGGTTTCCTCCTCTCCATCCACCCCTGCCTCTACCTCTATCACTGGGTCTACCCCCACGACCTCGTCCACGTCCAGAAGATTGAAAACTACTTTTGTCCGAAAAGAATTCTGCCATAGTATCTGGTGTTTTGCCTAAGAGAACCACTCTGAGAGATAATCGCCTAACTGGAATTAATCTGTAGTGCTGGCTGGAGCAAACCAATGACAGTGATAGCATGAGACAAGGATTAATTGAAAGGAGTTATTGATTCGCACGTGCACATCACGCGCAATTTCTAAGTTCCCGTCTTTGGAAATTTCTGTCTTTCTCCTCCAGTCATGTCTGCACGGTCGTACGAAGTAAATAGCTCATTTTCGCTCATAAATTTATTAATCCTGAAATAATGTTCTTAGATTGTGCAAGGGTTCTTCATACAGGATGAAGGTTATGAAGGCAATTATGCAGTTCGTACAATCCTATTCTTGTTACAACCGCTCAACTTGGAGACCAAGTACAAGCACTACTGCTTCGCTTGTAGATCCCACCGCATTTTGGACTACTGGATACTTCTGATTATCGATGGTCAAACACGATTGGTCGAATCACAGAGCTGAACGAGTCCGCGCCACAAGGTGTAACATATAAACTCATCATCGCTGGTCGCCACGGACAAGGCTTTCGTATGTGAACGGAAATTCAACTCGCCATAGTTTTCCTTATATTATTTCATCAAATCAGACAACCTGGCTGAGCTGAAGTATGGATGGAAGGTGCGTCAATGTAGATGCTTTTGGCGCTTTCAGTACAACTCAATGTCATGACAGCTTTGGAACGAGTGCGCATATTTAACGTGTATTTCAGACTCTGCATTTTATCCTCTAGCTCTGCGTTACAGGTACTGGGCTAGACTCGATACAGATGGAGAGATTGTCTGGGGCCGTACATACATTAAACAATACATTAATATTTATTATCCTAACTTCTCTGTACAGCTGATCCAATCCTAACTGAACTCGGCGAGGACCAGGCACGAGTCGCAAACGCAATGTGGCTCGATGAAGTCGCAGCAGGCGCACCACTTCCTGATGGGCTCTACTGCAGTCCAATGACACGCGCTATACAGACATGTCGATTCACTTTTGCAAAAGTTGTCGATTTCGCGGATAGACCGCCACTCATTCTAGAGGTGCATGCAATATTCTTCGCGATCCCTTCTTAACGTATAGTATTCATACTAATATATCGATTAGAATGCACGAGAAATATACGGCGTACATTCATGCGATAAACGTCGCTCAAAATCGTACATCATGAAAGAATTTCCTGAGTTCAAGATTGAAGACAGCTTCACGGAAGAGGATGAACTACATGACCCAAACGTACGCGAAACGTACGAACACGTTGCACAGCGCGGGCGCAATGTACTAGATTACATATTCGACAACGACAATGGAGTTGGTAATAGCATTTAGTTTTTTGTATTGGCCATCGACCGTAACTCACTTTGTTGGTCATTCATAGTTATCTCGGTCACAGCACACAGTGCATTCATTAGAGGCTTTCTGATCTCGGCGAATCACAAGCCAGTACCACTACCAACAGGAGGTACGTAATCGTCTCAAATACGTTCCTCGATCACACCAAAGCTCGCAACTACTTGCACTCTAGGCATTGTTCCAATGGTCGTCAAGAGTATCAGTACCCTGCAGTGATGTTTCCCAAATACAATGATTAGGGACCTTGGGTATGTATTAGATTTTTATTATGTTTCACTTATGCAATTCACACAGTGTAATTCAAGATTCTTGTATAGATTAGCAAACGTGTCTCGATACAAAGGTTCGGACTACCTCAGGGAAAACAGGAGTAGAATGAGGACCAAACAGAAAAATGCAAGATTATTAGAATAATGGAAGGATAGATCACATGGCTGTGGCTGTCATGTCTGTTGCAGAAATATACAATAGAATATATCAATACATCCATCGAAGGGTGAATTGTTAAGAACGAACCAAATATCATTGGTAATGATTCACATCATGGTATTGGTGCAACAAGGGATACAGCACAAGCAGCCATGCATCTACGTTTCACCATCATATTACTGATTAGCACCATAAACTTGATGACAAGAAATAGCTAGCATTACGTACGCTCCCTGAAGTGCGTTACACGCCAAAATACTCGCAGGCGCAGTAACAGCTAGGACAGTCCCAAATGTAAAGCCTGCAGCAGCGTAGCATGCCACTGCACCAAAATTACAGCCTGTCAAAAGAATGAAATATCAGACGAATAGTCGAATTATATTCCGAAATGGATTATCCGACAAAGAGATAATCACGTACCCGTCTGGCATAGTGCATACGTGAATGGGCCACCGAGCACAGTAGGGAGGGACGCAGTGGCGGCAACAACAGCAATAAGCGGAAGACGCATTGTGCTATAGTTGTAAGAGTACTAGTAAGGATGGACTAGAGGGGAGTATGAGTGTGGATCGTTGAGTACCTGCCCATCCATCCACTCACCCATCTTATACCATCTACACCTCGAGCATCACTAGAGTCACCTGCTACCACCATAACGGCATCCCAGCGTGCTCACCGCGCATTCACAGCAATGCAGAGTCAACATATAGCGCGTAGATACTTCTCGAACCCATTCCTCAACAAGGTTTGCCTCAAAATAGTGTATTAGACGCCCATGTCTCCAGCTCGTTATGCACAGCTGTGCACTACCCTTCACATCGAAGAAGCGAGAAGACGTTACAAAGAGGTTGGATATAAGGTTCAAACATGGTGTAGCTGATGTAGGTCGCAGCAGAGCAGGAAAAGGTTCATTGTCGGTCATTAGGATGCCTATACGAGAAGATCATCACCGACACTAAGCGCCCAAATACTCAAAAAGGTAGAGATAATTAGGTTTAGGCAGTCTTGCTCTGCAGCTGCGGCACAGCACAATACACGAGGCTGTTCTCCTTGTCACCTATAATAGTAGATGCCATTAAACCAAGTTATTTTGGATAACGCACCGTCGAACGAGCCCTGTGTTCGCAGTCCATTGATTCGGTAATTACTGACTCGGCCTTACAATCCAGGGGTCGACATGGTCTTGCTAAATTCGAGTCCAAAAGTGTGGCGTATCCGACTTCCGAGAGAAGAAAAGAGAAATGTATAGAAAAGAGCATACACATGAAGTACGAAAAGAATATAGACTCTCCAAGGTTCTGTAACAGGGCTCTATTCTCGGAAACAACCTCAGCGTTCGCCCATCTGTGCTAGGTATTCGCTTAGCTGAAAGTCCATCGTTAGCAACTATCCCATCAACAAGTTACGAGACACTCACTTTCATAGCTCCAGCTCTCAGACTCTCCACGCCATTCTGCACATCAGGGTTAGCCATAACCCTTGCAATAGCATCACGAGCTGCAGCCTGCACACCCTCCAAGCTCCCATCACCCAACAACCCTCCATCAGCTCCTAACCCACGCGCAGCAGCCTCCTCTTCCTCGTCTCTCCCAAAATACGATGCACTCGAAATCGCCGACGCACCCGAGAACTGTGCCAACCGCGCCTGCGCTTCCGCCGATCGACTAGGATCGTGTATCCCTCTTCCGAAATACATATCACTCGAAATAGCCTTTTGCGAGCCGAATTTTTCTCGTGCTTCTGTAGATTCGTCGGTGATGGCTGGAGAGGACGGAGTAGACGTAGACGGAGTAGCTGACGCTGACCCGAGCCCGAGGCGCTTCATACCCATCCCAAGGCGTGCCATGTCCTGGCTGCTGCCCTTCTGATGACTCACAAGTCGTGAATTGCCACTGGAAGCAGCAGAAGATGGAGCACCAGTCAGTCCCGTCTTTGCCGGCCCTCCGACCTCGGTAGATGCTTTCACAGCAGCAATCGAAGCGGCAATGGAGGCTTTTACAGCTGCGGCAGCTTCCTCCTCCTCACGCTTCCTATCATAACCAAGTTGCTTGATACGCGCCTCTTCGGCCTCCGCCTCTTTCTGTGCCTTCTCAAAGTCAACCGGTGTAACAGCCTTTGCTGCTCCTCTAAGCCCTCCCAATTTCTTTGTGCCACCTGATGCAGGAGTTGTAGATGCGGCAGAGTTGAGACGGGCAGCTCCAAGACCGAGACGAGCAGGTTTTGCAGTGGCAGACGCAGTAGAGCCTGCACGCAAAGAAGCTGACGTAACTGTACGAGGGCCCGCAGTTGGCGGTGACGATGCAGCACGAACAATCCCTGGAGGTTTTGCCTGTACAGCAGTGCCATTCGATGGTTTATCGGAGGAGGCGGAAGGCTTATCCCATGTGTCGAAAAAGTCGTCTGCAGATTCGGACGGTGCAGTCGCAGGTGTAGTAGCACCGGATGCACCTTCAACAAAAACACCAGCAGGGAACATAGCTGCATCTGCCTTCTCCTTCTTATCCAATTCTGCACGATACAACTCAGCGACCTTGCTATCATATTTTTTCTCCGTGTTATTCTCGGTGAGGAGCAACGAACCACCATGCTTCGTGAAGAAGTCCGTCGCCGCAGCGTTCCCCCCGACTTTCATGCGTCGTAGCTGGTCTGTGCGCCAGTTATCAAGATTCGTGGAACGGACGAAGGAGAGATGAACACCGAGTTTGCGATGTGCGCTGGAGCAGTTGTAGCAGATGTAGATTCCATACGGGATGCTCGTCCATGTCGGACTACTGGCTTGACAATCAAAGCACATCTATACATACCACAACCAGTCAGATACTTCCTCCCGGATTCCAAAGACTCGGACTTACCCTGTTGGCCTTTTGAGCCTTGAGGACGGCAAAGACCTTGTCTGACTCCTCCTTTGGTACTACTTCTGAGCTCATTGCTGTTCGTGATGACAGTAGCGAGGAGGAAGAGAGTGAGAGCAGTACTAACCGCGGGTACCGTGAGAAATCTATCTCTGCCACGTGACACTCACGACACGTGCCTCATCCGCGCCAGTCCCTACAGAGGAGAGACACGGTATATACCTACGAAATCTATCTCCGCCACGTGACACTCACGACACGACAGAGGTATATAGCCACTCACGACACGTGTCTTACTATCACCTCGTATGGATCCTTCGTATAGGAACAAGAGTGAGTAGTGCCCGTCCTTCCTCCTCGTTACGAGTGCTAAGCGTTTCCCGCAGAGATTCTCGACCTGAGCGAGGACGAGCTCAATACCCTCGCCTTCCTAGGCCCAAGTGAGCCGCTTCGTCATGACACACGTCCATCTCTCTCTCTCATTGTTGTCCGTCCACCTTGTAGACGTCGCTCCGGGCGTCCGAGTTATGGTCGATAAAGTGAGGGCCAACCCCACGCGCCTGGGCTGTAAGTCGCTCCGTCCTCTTTTTTGCGCGTTTCATACGAACGTCCTTTTGCGTTTTCAGTCGTGACATGCTTCACAGTGGACTGCCTTAATCGCAGGTACTTGGACCCGGCTGCCCTATAAGACACTCCTGGCTCTCCTATCTCTCCCACCATCAGTAAGGCGGATACTCTCTTCTTACAACTCAGCATAGACTCTGACACCTTCACCGTCGTCGCACCTAACCTGATCTCAAAATATGAGTCTAACTTCTAGTACTACAGCATCTCTAGCAACCCTCCCAAGCTTATGTGGCGTTCGGATCTCAAGACCAACCCCTTTCCCAACCCCTCGCCTGGAGCCCACTTCTTCAAAGTCCCTACCAAGACTGCCCACAGTGTGTTCAATATGCTGCTGAACAATGTCTAGAATATTGTCACTCCCCAGATCATTGTATCAATGAAGGCCTACAGCCTTAAGTACTCTACACTCAAGACAGTTTACTTCTCAACCCTTGAGGACAGTATGGAGGACGAAACGTTTGGCCCTGTTGTCATGTGGGTTACTGTGTAGCTTAACACCACTAACACTAGGACTGTTCACAATGTCATACTAGACATTCTTAGTATCCTTGCTGACACCAATATCACTAGTATTGTTGTTGAGTGGTACAAAG